TATATATATATATATATATATATACATACACAGTATATAGTCATTGTTGTGTTTACTGAGGTCATCTAGCTGTGGTGGCCATGTTGAACTGAACTGACTCATAAGTTAATAAGTTGGTAAACATCCATTCATTACTTTTTGAGAAATTTTAAAACCCATCTATTAGTTCATGAGATATTTTGCTAACAAATATCAAATGCACAGAGACAGGTATTTACACAAAAGCCCTTTTTGTCATAGCACTGGGCAATGGTGACTCACAATAATCCAAATTAGACTATACAAATAAAGAAATATACTTTATTTTTGGTCTCAAAAACTGAACAAGGATTCTTTGAGATTCTCTTGTTTTATTGCCAAACAGGCAAAAACAGCACAACACTACCTGTTATGGTAAAATATTCATTTAAAAAATAAATAAATAACCTTCAGTGTTCACATTTTTACATACCTACATAAATGCAACTCTAAAACATAAAAAGTCTAAATGAAAACGTTAGTTTTGACTCTCCAACCAGCCTGATCAATCATTCAGCACATATTCATCAGTGCGAGATGAAGACCTCTCAAGAGAGAACATGTAATTATGCAAATGACCCTCAGACCACCAAGGTCTCCCTGTTTCTGGGTGAGTGACACAAAGACGGAAGGGTTTGAATTGGTCCCTGTGACTCCTGATAGTGTTTGCTTCAGAATGAGCAACATCTGCCCTGCAGAGCAACAGCTGCAAACCCTGGAGGCTGGATTTGGATCTGAACGAAAATGGTACATGGACTGTACCTTTCTATCTAATCAAGAGACTCAAAGCTCTTTACAACATCTGTGCCCTCATTTACCTCCACACACACGTTCAAACAGCTCTCTACTGTAACCGGATAGATAGTCAGAGGTATCTGGCGAAAACCAGCAGTACGTTAGTCAGAATTCTGTAGAAATCCCTGACCATCCACCCATTTGTTGGTTGGGGTTCATTGGTTTGGTTGCTTAGGTACCAGATCCAGAACTGAAACCCAGATATCCCTTTCCAGAATGACTCAGCTCCTCCTAGGAAATCCTGGCGTTCCCAGGCCAAAAAGGAAACATAATCCCTTTGGCAAGTTCTAGTTTTGTCCTGGGGTCTCCTCTCAGTGGGATGTACCTGGAAAAGCCCCAAAGAAGTGACAAAGAGACGTCCTAATCACAAGCTCGAACCACCTCAGCCAAATCCTTTCTATGCGGAGGAGCAGCAGCTCTACTTCCAACTCCCCTCGGATGACGGCGCTCATCACCCCGGCATTTCTTTCAACCTTTAAGAAGGAAGGTCACGTCAGTAGCTTGAATCTAAACCCTTTCTGTCATTGTTCAAACTTCTTGATCGGTGAGAGTTAAAATGGATCAGTAAGTCGAGAGCTTTTCCTTTCGGTTCAGCTCGTTTTCTTTTTTTACCACAAGATACCGGAGCAATGCCCACATTACTGCGGATGAGCCTTGATCCATCAACCCATTTGCAACTCTATCCTTGTGAACAAAACTCCCAGATACTGAAACTCCTTTGTTCAGGGCAGAGACTCATCCCTGGCATGGAAGAAGCATTTCACCTTTTCCACTTATTATGGGTGCGTCCCATAGGAGAAGCAGTGAGAGCTGCAAAAATGAACTGTTTTCATTTAGTCAGTTTGTATCTCATTTAATATCTATCTATCTATCTATCTATCTATCTATCTATCTATCTATCTATCTAGTATCTATCTATCTATCAATCCATCCATCCATCCAATCAACAGCACATATACTACCATCAGCTGCTGATCTCCTGCTGCTGATTTATTTCACGCTGCTGTGTTCATTCGTACCCATCTGCTCACACAGACTCATGTTCGTGCTGCTGTTGTTCGGCGTATTGTTTTTGTACTATTAAGTGCTTAGCGTATTCTTAGTTAAGTGTATTTCATATCTTAGATCTTATTACTGTTTTTCTTTTACAATTTATACTTTTGTTGGTTGGAACTGGGACCTTGTGTACACAATTTCGTTCCACCACATGTACCACATGCGATGTGAATGACAATAAAGAACCTTGACCTTTCTCTATCAGTAAACATTACAGTTTTTAAATGTGTTAAATGCAAAGGAATTCATTTACACGTATTGCTAATAATAGTAGATAGTTGCTGAGAGTAAATTCAGAACATAGGCTCTAACAGATTAAGCAATATCTTGCAATATCAGGTGAGGTCGTACGTCATGTCACTTTCACAGTTTGATCAAAATGGCTGTAACTTTGTCAACATAATGTGGACTTAGCTTAAAACAGGCATGAAATGTGATATAATAAGGTATAAGGGTGATATGCATTCTTCCAAAGAATGTTAGGTGTTTAAATTGTAAGTGCAAAAAGTGGCAGCAGCAACTAGATGAAGCAGTTTCTGTACAAACCAGGGACCTCGAGCAGGACGATGATAAACTTTACCATATAAAATGTGCAGTGATGTACAAAATTTAATGTAGTGTTCACTTGAACTGTAATTAAAAGTTAGGAGCTCTCAGTCTAGAGCAGCGATCCACTTTGGTCTTCTTGGCCCTGATCAGACTAGCCATTATCTTGTCAGTCTAGTCAGAATCAAACTGTTTAAAGAGCGAGCTACAGCGATCTTAGTGTTACTTTTGATCAGGACATGTCTTTTATTCCCCACATTAAAAACGTTACTAGAACTGCCTTCTTCCAGCTGCGTAATATCACTAAAATTAGAAACATCTTATCTAAAAATGATGCAGAAAAATTGGTCCATGCATTGGTCACGTCTAGACTGGACTATTGCAATGGTTTGTTATCTGAGTGTCCAAATACTTCTTTAAAACGTCTTCAGTTGATCCAAAATGCTGCTGCCAGAGTCTTAACTGGAGTTAGTGGGAGAGATCATATGTCTCCAGTTTTAGTTTCCCTCCATTGGCTCCCTGTCAAGTCCAGAATTTAATTCAAAATCTTACTTCTAACCTACAAAGCTCTCAACAACCTAGCTCCATCTTATATTCGAGATCTTTTGTTCCATATTTTCCTAACAGAGCACTTCGCTCTCAGACTGCAGGTTTACTTGTGGTTCCTAGAGTTTCCAAAAGCAGAATGGGAGGAAGATCTTTCAGTTCTCAGGCTCCTCTCTTGTGGAACCAACTTCCAGTTTCTGTCCGTGAGGCTGACACATTGTCCAGTTTTAAGACTTTCCTTTTTGATAAATCCTATAGTTAGGGTTGGCTTGTTTTGCTGCTATAGGCTTAGACTACTGGAGGACAAAATTACCTCATTTCTTTAAATTAATTGTTAAAATTGAATAGTTTTCATTTGATATTATTTATATCTTAACATGTGATTCTTGACCTGCCATTGTGTATCTGTTCCTCTCAAACCCAGCTGGTCAAAGCAGATGGTCGCTTGTCCTGAACCTGGGTCTGCTAAAGGTTTCTTCCTCATGAGGGAGTTTTTCCTTTCCACTGTCGCCTTCGTGCTTGCTCAAGATGCACGTTCTACAATGAAGTTAAATCCAAAGCAGTCTGCTCCTCAGATAAATAACGTTAAATTATTATTTTTATATATGGAGGTTTCTGTTCAGTGCCCTGAGACGACTTCTGTTGTGACTTGGCGCTGTATAAATAAATTGAATTGAATTACAGCAGGTAAGATATTAACTGTTCACAACCTTTCCACAGAACTCTACATTAAATATCTAAATGATCACTTTAAGCTGAATGTGAAATTTATGTTAGTTTTTGTTGGTGTACTGAACGTCACATCAGTCCAGACCCAGTTAGACTCCAGTCCTTGTTTTTCAGATGGCAGACACACATTCACACTCTCTCTCTCTCTCTCTCTCTCACACACACACACACACACACACACACACACACACACACACACATACTGGTCTTTTCAGTGAGGAGGACTGAACTGCTCTTTATTCAGCAACAATCTCTCCAGGCTCTGTCAGACTCTGCAGTGACTCTGGGAACACACTTCTCCATAACGGACTCTGATTCTCTGACAGTCTCCGGGTCTTGTTCCCAAAGCAGACTCTCTGGACTGGTTAAAACCACCACTCTGGGTTTTTCTTTCAGGTAAGTTCAAATCCTTTATAAAATTCATAAATATATATATATATTTTTTTTTCCTAACAGACTCTGTATGCTCAGTAGTTTCTTAGACAACATTTTATTTCTGATCTTTTTCTTAACTTGAGATAGTTTTACTTATTCTCTGGGTGCAATAACTAAACCTCAAGCAGGTCTTGTTTACATACATTAGACAATATCTTATTGAAAGCGATGAATGTTAAAATACACAAATGGACGAAAGCCGTGGGTTTTTTTTGTTTTGTTTTTTTAGTCTTCTTTTTTGCATTTTGTCATGTGCTTTTAAAGCTTTTAAAATAAACATGACAAAGATAAGGGTTGTTTACCTTGAAAGAGTCTAAAAGTTTGTTTACAGGTGAAAGCGCCTGTTTTTCCTCTTAAATTGCCTCATTAACCATCTTCAACATGGAGGTAATTAGTGTTGAATGTGACAGTCTGAAGGGGCATATGGTTTCTGTTGTGTGTGTGTGTGTGTGCGTGTGTGTCAGATGTATGTTTCAGCAACTCCTGTTGTGTGTCTGCAGCCACACAACATTAATGTGGTTCTCTAAATTAAAAAAAAAAATCTTCCAACTCTCACTTTTACAGCTCTCTTAGTCCCTGCAACACGTGTTAATATTGATATATTTCCACATCTGGTGCCAAAGTTTTTTGTTCTTTTAAGATCAACTCTAAATGCATTTTTTTGTCATATTTGAAGACGATAGTTTTAGATAGAAAAGCTTCAGAACATCTCACCTTGTAATTGTCTTTTTATTCTACCTGCTGGTTTTGTGTGATTATTGTCTGCTAATGGGATGGATGGTGTAATCCTTCTGCTCACGCACCAACGAGACTTGGACTTTAGGGTTCAGTTGGAGGTGTGTCCAACATGACTGCCATTGAGAATAATGATGATTTGAGGAAAATCAGTACTCACTGTTGCCCTTATTTGTTTCTTAGCTGTCATTTCACACTCATTTCTGAGCACAGCTGGTAGCGAAGATATTCCAGAGTCCATCCGTGTTGTTGTGACCGCTTGTTCTGACAAACTGAAATGACCTTTGCACCTTTCGGTGCCAGCATTTGAATGCTGTCCTTAAAGTTGTCTCCAAGATTGCAGTGAGTCCAAGTTTAACTGGGCTGTTGTTGAATCAGTCAATCAGTCAATCAGTCAATCCATCTAGGCCTGCCTGAATATAAAGGTCTAAAGGTTAGATTTAAAAAGGCCCAGATCAGTGATGGAAGGTGAGTCCTGAGGTAGTTGTTCTGTAGGTAGAGTTAATACATCAAAGCAGGTCTATTCGGGCACAACACATCATACATGACAATTCAAACCACCAGCACAGAAACTAGACTGTTTGTTGACTCCTGGAAATTTACCAGCAGTGTGCAAAAACTTTGCATTAAAAAAAACAACTAATAATAATTAAGAAAAATTTTAAAAAGAGTGCTAAAACATGAACACGATCACTCTCACTGGCAGCCAAACTGCCATCTTCTGCTAGCTTACTTTGTTTATTAGGTCAAAACATAAACGCTTTCCCCATTCAAATGCTACATTTTTAGCATTTGCTTAAAATCATTCAACATTTATTTCTACAGGTTAGTCTCATTGAGCCTCGAGGACTCATTTAAAGAGAGACCTGTTTTAAACAAAGATTGACAATAGTAGACAATCTTAAAAGAAGGTATATAAATTGAAAAAACAATAAATGGAAGAAAATTATATATAAAAAAAACCTAAACAAAAACAGCTACATTTATAAAGCGATATAAAATATGAAAAACAGGAACATGTCTGCGTTGGTTTTTGCCAGGAGCTTAGCAGATGTTTGAAGCCACTTCAGTCGAGAGCTTCAAATCTTTTTGTAAGATATTCCAGGAAACAGGAGCAGAGTAGGAGAAGGCCCTTTTGCCTAGTTCAGTCTGCACTGAGGGAACACTGCAGGTAATGATGTCCTGAGAGCGCACGCTGTAGCTGCACTCACGCAGAGACATGTAGGAGGAGATGACCAAGCAAATGCTAAAAATGTAGGATTTGAATGGGGAAAGTTTTTATTTTTTTGACCTAATAAGCAAAGTAAGCTAGCAGAAGATGGCAAGAAGTGGTTTAAAGATGAAACTGTACCAGAGTCTGCGTGAAGTTAATGATGTCCAGTTAACCAGTGAATACAGGGTGCAGTGGTGGGTACGGTAGTTACAGCCAGTTATGAATCTTAGTGCACCGTGATAGACAGCATCCAACATCTGCAAGGTGCTTGTAGGAGCGTTCATGTAAATAATGTCACCGTAATCAGTGGAGGGAAGGAAAGTCACAGTCACAATGTGTTTCCTAGCATTCAGAGTTAAAGATCTATTTCTGTGAATGAAATTCAGCTTTACTTTCAGTTTCTTTACCAAGTTTTCGACATGAGGCTTAAAAGAGAGATGTGAATCGACCAAAATACCCAAATATTTGTAGGAATCGACAAACTCAATAGGGACACCATTCGAAGATAAAATGAAAGGAAGAACTGCTGGGACCGACTTCCTGTTTGATCCCTTTGATTTTGTTGGCGTATCAACTGTATCATCAGCATAAAAATGTAAAGATGCATCAGAGATGATCTGACCTATATTACCTATGTAGATTGTGAAGAGGGTGGGACCTAACACTGAGCCTTGTGGTACACCATTGTTAACAGTTAGATAGTATATAGAAAATAATATTCTACTGTATTATTTATTTCTTTTTGCAAATTTTCCACAACAGCTAGCAGGGTTTGCTAGCTGTTTTTAAACTATATTCATGCTGTTCTTTAGCTTCTGTTGGCTTAGTTAGCTTCTTAAAGACCAATCAGCTAATGTTAGTTTAAATATTATCTTCCCAAAACAAATTACTACTTGTTTTTTCAACCTAAGGGTCAAATTTGTAGCTAATCTGATGACAAATTATATTTTTAGCACATTAAATGTTGTTTGTCTTGTTGGGAAAACTCCAGAAGTGCCAGGAAACCTGCTCAGCTCAACTCAGCTGTATTTTTATAGCACTTTCATTCTGAAGTGACATAATTTAACCTTTTTTGTATTTATTTACCTGGATGATTGAGTTTACAAACCTTTTTTTTTTTGTTCTCAGACATAACTCAAAATGTTGAACAAATGCAAAAGATGAAAACCAAAGATAATGTAAAACAAAAATAGAGAGCACAAATCTGTTGAAGATTAAATGCAATAAAAGTAACGTAGAAGCAAAAAAAAAAAATTTAAAGGCAACGCAAATTGAATAAAATAAAATGTATAAAACTGATGCATAAAGAGCAATCATTAAAATAAGTGACACAGGCTATTCAATAAAACAATAACTTGGAGTGTGGAAATTATTTAACTTGTGAGATTTTCATTCTACTTAGAGCATTTTTATTTATTTATTTTATTTATCCATGTTTGATTTTAACTGGTTTTGAGCATTGTCATAACTTGCATTAATAGTTTTAGCTTCTGCTACTTAGCCTCTTCAAAGCAAATTTATTGATGTAAGCTTTAATAAACCTTTTAATAAAATCAAAGATGCTACAAGCTGCCCCTCATATTTGCTTCAGACAGATTGCTACTTTATTTTATTCAAAACTTTAAAAGCCAAACTTGTAGCTATTTTCATACCTTGATGAATAAAATAATTTTAGCACCAAAAAAAAAACATAAAAGGTAGTGCTTTTAAGTTATGTTAAAGCGCGCATGAGCTCTCAGAAATGTTCATTGAGGCTCTTAAAACCCTGTTCTTGGTGTAAATGTGTGTTAAATTTCAAAATGGCTTTCAAAAACTCAATCAAGTTACCAGTCTAATGACCGTCTCAATTATTATTTAGGATATTAGAGAGAACTCTTAAACTGCTTTAACTGCTGGTTTTAAAATTAATATCTTCTAATTTGATGTTCATTGATTAAAGTTGTTGTTAATTATTAAGACAAATGCTAACCAGTTTGCAGCCAGGACTGCAAACGAAATAAACTGCTGGGAGAAACTGAGCCAGGGCTGATTTCACCGTCTCATAGGTGTGGTGGAGGAACACAACAAAGTCATGTCAGCTGTGTGGACAGGAAACAACACTGGCCCCGCTCCAGGTTTTGCACACATGCATCCTTCCTATAGCTCCGCTGAGCCTCCAATCACACACAAACAGCTGGCTGCAGGTTGCTCCCTAAGCTCCAGATTTATTTTACTGGTGGAAACAGAACGCAGCTTGAAGTAAACATGCTTCGTTTTGTTCACTGTTCCACATTTTTTGCACAGTATTTGTTTTTAGGTTTATAAATTCTATAAAATTTGACTTTTTTTTCACAAAATTGCCCCATAGGAAGTTTATAAAACTATAGCTGCTGACATCAATAAACCATCCATCCATTATCTTTTACCCACTTCTTCATTTTCGGGTCATGGTGATCACTGGTGTCCATATCCAGCAGTCACTGTGTGAGAGGCGGGGGACACCCTGCCTGGACATGTCTCCAGTCCATCCCATGGACACATAGAGACAAATGAGACAAACAGCCATCCACTCTCTCAATCACACCTAGGGACAAATTGTTGAACTGCCTAGAAAGACAGCCACATATTATTATCCACCTGCAAAGGGTCTTGCTCTTCTATCAACATTAATGCGTCCCGAACCACAATGAGTACCCCCCACAAATGTTACATGAAAACGACCGGTTCGGCACCATGATGTTATTACTTTTATTGTCGTATTGAGTTACCATGGTGATGTAATTTGCTGACACCATTTTTCCCAATGAAAAGCACAAACAGAACTCTTAGCTTCTAACTGCCATAGTGAGGTCACGAGTGGAGAGATGTCTGAACAAAACTCAGAGTCATCGAACAAACTTCCTACCACTGTATCTTTTCAAATACATATTGAACATGAAAACATAGGCATGTTTGTAGTCTTTCCACAAGTATTTCTGGTTTGGCTGTTGTAGTTATGGTTGGTTCTTGTGGTGCCTCAGAAGGCAGAGTGCGA